AGGCCCTCTGCCTAAGCCCCTTTCCCACCTTAACCAGGAAGCACGGCAGGTGCTGCCTCCTAGTGCCCACCTCACCCCACGTGGAGACCTACGTGCAGGTGTTGGTGAGGGTGGTGGGGGCCATGGCCATGGTGGTGGCCTCTAAGATGTACGGGAAGGTAATCTTCTTCCTGGCATCTCAGGCCACAGTCGAGGAGCCGGTAGAGAAGGGTCTGTCAGTGAGGGTGGTGTAAGTCCCCCTGGAGGACCTGGGTGTGTGGGTAGTTTTCACCTCCATCCTGCCCTTCCTTCCCAGTGCTGCCTTTTTGCCTTCCCCTTCCACCTTGGAGAAGTCCCTGTTGGTGATTAGCCTTCTCCCACTAGGATGCAAGGATCCCACCCTGCATCCTGTCTTTCTGCTGGCAGGTGCAGCTTCAACTGTCACCAGTGGTGCATGAGGGGGATGCGCTCTAGGTGTCCTTTTGGGTGCCCCACCAGGAGGCCTGTTAGCAGGTATACTACTCTTTGGGGAAGGCCCAGTTACTTTTGCTGGGTAATGGGGCACATCCAGAGGGACTGTCCCCTGGCCTGGCACAGAGGGAGGCCTGGGACTGCCAAGCTGCGGGAGGGCACTGGCCCTGTCATCACTGGCAACCCTGGTCACTCGGCTCCGGTAGTCACCCCCTTTCTCCCATGCCTGCCACCGCTTCCCCTCAGGACCCGGGGTGGCCCCGTTTAATATCCAGTTGGGCAGGTGGGCCCTGCCTCCATTGTTTGCAGTTCAGCAGGGCCCACAGAGGAGGGGGTGGTAGAGCCACTGCTGGGAGTGAAAGAGGGCCTGTCCCAGGAGGAGCTTTCCCTTCCCCTTGCTACCCCGAATTGCCCCCAGGACCCACAGTTCCTTTTCCTTTCTAACACCTCAGAGGGTTGGGTTCCTGTCCTGGGGAAGTGGGGCAAAAAGAAGGCATGAGCTCAATGTCCCCCTCGATGCAGAGGGGAGGAGACCCCCCACAACACCAACGGGGGGCCGAGCCTTCCGTTGTGCCCCCTGGTAGGGCCCAACACCTAAATACAGCTGGGGAAGTCGTAGCAGCAGTGAGGAGCAGTACCGCCTTCCCCTTCAGGAGTCCCTCATTGTGGGGGGCCTCGGATGAAGCTCCACCACCCCCTTGACATCTGCACCCCCTATCAGCACCAAGGTGAGTGTTGCCTCAGTCGCTTGTGGGAAGGACCTTGGGGTAGCAATTGAGGATTTCTGCTCCATTTTTGAGGAGATCAAGGACCTGGGTCTGACCCCGGTCACCCAGGGTTGAGGACGACCCCCTGCCAGCGGACCTCGATCTGGGTTACGGTTCCTTCATGCCACCCGCTCCTCAGCTCTTTCCCCTTACTCTGACCTCTGTCCCTGCTCTTACTCCTGGGATACTTCCAGGTTCATCCACCTGCCTGGCCACGGATGGCACCTCATGGCCAGCAAGCCCACTGAGGCGACAGCTGGTGCCAAACAACTGGGCCCTGGCCATTGGGACTGCCCCCTGTTGATGCACGGCAGCTTCCTTCCCATCCAGTTGGGGGCCCTACTGTTGATATCCCATTCCCTGATGCCATGGCTGCAGGTGCTCAGACTCCCAAGGTGCTCGAGCCTGGCATGTGTCCTCACCACCGTGGCTAGCATCAACTTATGGAGTGGGGCACTGGGGGTAGCTATCCCACAGTTCCCACAGTCTCTGCCACCCATTGGAATTCTGGGTTAAGCTCCCAATGCCTGATGGGGCAAAAACATCGTTGCGGGTGGTTTTGGGTACATGTTGTCAGTCGCCCCTCCCTCCGTGAAAGCAACGGCAGACAATCGTTTTGCACCTTTTTTCTGCGCAGATGCCATACCATGGCAAGGGTGCAGCCCGCTCAGCTCATCAACACCGCTGCTGTTTTATCTTGGTGCTGCTAACCGTCGTCCTCCACCACTTCTGCTGCAACTCTGCTCTCATGAATCCACCTCACAGGTCCTCTCATCATTCTCTATAAATATCTATTGTCAGCCATCACTTCCACTGCAACTCTGCTCTCCTGCAGACGACAAGCATGAAGCCCGCTCAGATCACTGCGGCAGCTATGAGCATTGTAAACACCTCGCGCGTTATCCTGCAGTATGTGCAGAACCAGAACCTGCAAAAGCAGGCAAGGAGACGACTGCAGCGCGGTGACGAGAGTGATGAGGACATGGACACAGACTTCTCTCAAAGTACGGGCCCTGGCAATTTGGACATCCTGGTGGCAATGGGGCAGACTTATGCCATGGAATACCGATTCTGGGCCCAGGAAACAAGCACAGACTGGTGGGACCACATAGTGTTGCAGGTCTGGGATGATTCCCAGTGGCTGTAAAACTTTCACATGCATAAAGGCACTTTCATGGAACGTTGTGACTTGCTTTCCCCTGCCCTGAATCGCAAGAATACCAAGATGAGAACAGCCCTCACAGTTCACAAGCGAGTGGCGATAGCCCTCTGGAAGCTTGAAATGCCAGACAGCTACCGGTCAGTCGGGAATCAATTTGGACTGGGCAAATCTACTGTGGGGGCTGCTGTGATCCAAGTAGCCAATGCTATCACTGAGCTGCAGCTATCAAGGGTAGTGACCCTGGGAAATGTGCAGGTCATAGTGAATGGCATTGCTGCAATGGGATTCCCTAACTGGAATGCCGTTGTGGTCGTAATGCTGCCCAGCATGTCCAGTGTTTCGGTCCTTGGAGCTCCAGTGTTATTAAAAGCAGATAAGGCAGCCTACTCCTTCAGCAGACCATTATGTCCAGTGACAAGGCACTCTGGCAGGTTTTTTGCCCCCTAGGCAGAGCACCCTGGCTCTATGGTTACCGGTACACTGACACCTGAGTGCCTAGTAGCAAGGAGTGTCTCAGTCAGGAGTGGAATTTTTGCCGTCCCCTCAGCTGCACACAGGGTTAAGGGGAGGTAACCTGATATTTATAGGCTGAGACAAATGACTGGACTACATGCATATTTCTTGACATCTGTTTGTTACCTCCCCATTCATTATTTTGCCAAACAATCTTATAGATTCTAGGACTGGAAAGGACCTCGAGAGGTCATCGAGTCCAGTCCCATGCCCCTCCTGGCAGGACCAAATACTGTCTAGACCATCCCTGACAGACATTTATCTAACCTACTCCTAAATATATCCAGAGATGGAGATTCCACAACCTCCCTAGGCAGTTTATTCCAGTGCTTAACCACCCTGACAGTTAGGAACTTTTTCCTAATGTCCAACCTAAACCTCCCTTGCTGCAGTTTAAGCCCATTGCTTCTTGTTCTATCCTTAGAGACTAAGGTGAACAAGTTTTCTCCCTTCTCCTTATGAGACCTTTTTAGATACCTGAAAACTGCTATCATGTCCCCTCTGTCTTCTCTTTTCCAAACTAAACAAACCCAATTCTTTCAGCCTTCCTTCATAGGTCATGGTCTCAAGACCTTTAATCATTCTTGTTGCTTTTCTCTGGATCCTCTCCAATTTCTCCACATCTTTCTTGAAATGTGGTGCCCAGAACTGGACACAATACTCCAGTTGAGGTCTAACCAGCGCAGAGTAGAGGGGGAAAATTACTTCTCGTGTCTTGCTCACAACACACCTTTTCTTGTACTAGATTGGGATGTACCTGTACTAGCTGAAATATACTTATGTAAACACCTATTGCATTGTACACTAGCCTCAATTGAAGGGGGGAGGGATAGCTCAGTGGTTTGAGCATTCGCCTGCTAAACCCAGGATTCCGAGCCCAATCCTTGAAGAGGCCACTTAGGGATCTGGGGCAAAATCAGTACTTGGTCCTGCTAGTGAAGGCAGGGGGCTGGACTTGACTCGATGACCTCTCGAGGTCCCTTCCAGTTCTAGGAGAAAGGATATCTCCTTTAATTTATACTGGATGCTTATCTCCTTTAATACATGGCCTGACTGTGGTTCCCAGCCTCTGATTCAGGCCTCAGATCTTGCACAAGGCCCAGTACTCCAGGCTCTATCTCTCTGCTACACTTGGTTCCACTCAGGATCTATGGTCCAATCCAAAGACTGCTGTAGGGCAGCCTTAACAGAGATATATTCCCTGCGGTACCATGTGTCAGTCCTTCAAATACCTCCTGGGCTTTGCCTTGGAGCAGCAAGCCAAGGAAATCCACCTTGGCAGCCTCACCCCAGCCATTTGTTTGGGCAGCTCACACAGACAGATTGATTCAGCCGGCCCACCCCTGAACAACCCCCATATTAGCTCCGGACATGAAGCCGGGCAGCCACATCTCTCCACCTGCACTGCCCTGACTATATCTGCTCTATGAGCTCAGGGGAACACTTTGATTGTCAGGGTTGGTCATTTCCACCCAACAAGCAGCCCTCGCACCTGTGGTACCGGCTCCTTAAGCCTTGCAAGCCAAATCTGCCAGCCGGCATCCCACCTTGGACACCAGTGTAATTACTGTGGTTTCCCCAAGTACATGAGACCCCTAGGGTGCCTGTAGCATGCCACGTGATCCCCGACACCAACTCCAGCACTTTAGTTGCTTTTGCAGCTAGGCTTTGTCGATGTGAATCCTGGTGGGTCCCAGTAATGACTCCAACACGTGGCTGAGGGAATCGTTTTTACTAGGGCTGACCAGAAAGGGAAAGGCTTCAGAGACCCTAGGTACATAGAGTTAAATTGTGACAGTGCAGAGTGAGCCACGGTGGTTGTGGTTCCTGTCTGAGTCCCTGGAGCAGTGCCGCCGACAGACAGGGCTCTTCAGGATCAGTGCCTGGGGTGCCCTCGCCACTCCAGTCTCTATTCCAGCAAACAGGAGCTTGTGGGTTTCCAGGCCAGGCTTAGTCAATGTCTCTCATTGGCGCCCCTCTGCCCTGGCTCCTTCCCCAGCTGCTGTTGCTCCCACTCAGACCAGCCTGTTCCACATGCAGTTCTGATAGTAAATAGCTCTGGGGGGAAACCCCTAGCCCTGACTGGAATTTATATTTCTTCTCCCAGGATGACGGAAGATTCAAAAACTCACTGGGATGAGTTGTTTTCAAAATGGGGCAGTAAACTTCCCGGTCTGTCTGAGGAGGAAACTGAAGAATTCCAGACTGCTGTCAAAGCTGGGAACTTCTCAAAAGCCATTTCTGTGGTGAAGAAGTCTTATGAGTTGCTCAGAAATACAAAAGTCAACATCGCCATCACAGAAATCACGGGCTCTGGAAAGTCGTCTTTCATCAATGCCATAAGAAGCCTGAATGATGATGAGAGTTGTGCAGCTAAAACTGGGGTGGAAGAAACAACAAAGAAGAAAACTTCTTACCCCCATCCCATTGACCCAAATGTGATTTTGTGGGATCTACCTGGGATTGGATCACCAAAGTATCCAGCAGAAAGATATGTAAAAGACATGAACCTTGATAAGTATGATTTCTTCATCATCATCGCAGCCGGGCGCTTCACAGAATTTGATACCAAACTTGCCAAAGAAATCAAGAGGATGGGGAAGAAATTTTATTTTGTCCGCTCCAAGGTGGATGCGGACTTGCATAATGAACAACAAAAAAGCAATTTCTCAGAGGAGAGAACTCTACAGGCAATCAGAAATAACAGCATGAGGTACCTGCAAGAAGCAGGCATCATCTCCCCAAAAGTTTTCCTGGTGTCAAGATGGGACTTTCACAAGTATGATTCTCCCCTACTGCAGGAGACTTTTGCAAATGACCTCGACACTCACAAGAGACATGTTCTCATCTGTGTCCTGCCCAGCACCTCTGAAAAAATCTTGGAAGAGAAACAGAAGGCCCTGCAGGAACAGATCTGGAAACAAGCCCTGTGGTCGTGCCTTATCGCTGCTGTTCCTCTGCCAATTCTCTCGGTTAACTGTGATGTCTACTTCTTGGTGGAGAACATGAGGCAGTATTGCAAGGCCTTTGGCCTGGATGATGTTTCCCTCAAATCACTCGCTAAGCAAGTTGGGAAGTCTGTTGATGAGCTGAAGTCTGAGATAAAGTCCCCTCTGGCCAAAAATATAACAAGAGATGAGGCTTTGAAGCGGCTCAGAGAGGCAACAGGGGAAAATATGATGACAATTAAATATTTTATCAGCCTGATACCACTGATTGGTTCTGGGATAGCAGCAGAGAGATCTTACAATGTCACCTATGAAATGCTACATAGGTTTTTGGATGAAGTTACAGAAGATGCTCAACGAGTCCTGAAAAAGGCTTTGGAGGGAGCAGAGAATAACCAATAACAGTGTCCCAAGGCAGAGCTTTTCCCCAGATTCCCAGGATAAACTGCCGCAACCTGAGTCTCCTTTCTGTAATTTCATTGTCCCAAACTTAAACAAACCAAGAGCCAAAACCATTTCTTGGCTCACCCTTGCATTACCGACTTTCACTGCCTCCGCTTCTAGGGGTCTCTGGCAGTCCTGTTGCTCCTGATTCCTGCCTCTCTCTCAGCCAGTCCCCCCTCAGTGGTGCTCTCTAGGGTCTGTCCACACTGCACACCAAGCCTTGACTCTGACTCAGGTTTGAGACTCAACCTCTGTTCCTTCCACACCCAAATCAGTCTGACGTGGGAGCGGGTCCTAGGACCCTGCTGGGGGGTGGGGTCAGAGCCCAAGTCCTGCTGTGACTCAGGTCCAACCCCTGTCATTCTGCAGGGTGGACACAGCTCAAGCTGTAGACCCAATCAGAAGCTCTGCGTAGTGCAGTGTGGACATGTTAGCACAGCCCTGAGACCTGGGTCCAGCACTTGTAAACTCAGGTGTCCAGTGAAATGTAGACACTCAAGTGCAGGCTTGGAAACACTGAGTCCACAAGCTCGGGTCCCGCAGGCCCAGGTTTACAATGCAGTGTAGACGTACCTTCTTGGACCTGTATTACCCAGTGCAGCCCATCCCTTAATTGTCCCAGCTGGGAGCTCCTGTTCTGGCACAGGGAGGGAGGGGGAGGTTGGACCCACTTCAGTCACAGGGGCCAGACATCCTGTGACAATGAACAAAAGAGCAACATGTCTGCTGCCAACCCCATGGCAAGTGGGGACTGGATCTGAGTAGAGAGGAGGTGGTGTTTCCTTCCTTCTCACATGTAATGTGACAGACGAGAGAAAGATTGACTGACTAAGATGTGGGGAGGGGAGGGAACAGCTAGGTTTTTTTCTGTTAAATGAAGATGATTTTTAATAAGGCTGGAAACAGACAAAGCTGAGGTTGAATTCCCAGCGTCTGCTATTACTTCTGATCATCCCACAGGAAAAGGGGACACTGTCCGATGAAATACCATATTAAACACACACTCCTCACCTGTGTCACTAATAGCACCGGGCAAAGGTGTGAATTCTCAGCACCATTAAGGTCTAGCCTACATTGGACAGTTAGATCAACCTACCCATGTTGCACAGGGCTGTGTAAAAATGTCACTAACCCCTGGTGTAGATGCGGCTAAATCAATGGAAGAATTCTTCTATCAACCTAGCTCCTGTCTCTTGGAAATGAGGATTGACATCAATGGAAAACCCCTTTCATTAATGTAGAAAGCGTCTGTACTATGGCACTGCGGCAACAGTACTGGATGTATGGGTCTGTCTGCACTATGGAGACTGTATATAATCGTAGCTACATCGCTGTAGCTATGTCAGCATGGAAACAACCTTAGAATTCCAGCGAGGCTGTGGAAACTCTGAACTTATATTTTAACCTCTTGGGGAACATGTGGCTGGGAAGCAAAACACACAGGTTTAAGCAAAGAAAATTCTTAACCACAGACACCAACCAGCAATCTGTGATCCGATTGTGAAACTCCGCCCCACACCGACTGTTTCATAGGGGTGGGCCAACCGTTAAAAGTCATTACAAAGTCAGTAGACCCTGCTTGTCATTTCGACAGCTCTCTGTTCTAGTGCTCGACGGGGTGTTACGCTCCCCTCCCAGCAGCGGAGATGTCTCGGTATTGCCTCACAACAGGCTGTGCATAAAGTAGATTAAACTGGATTGAACTGAGGCCTCAAAATGGCGAACAGAATCCAACATGGAAGCCTGCAAACAAAATGGATGGAGTATAGCTGACACAGACATACAAAATGGAGGGTGAATAGCAGACACAGACACACAAAATGGCTGATATAACTTGGTTCAAATCTTCCACAATCCGTCACATCCATATTCTTAACAGCAAGACAATAACAACCTGGGAGCTGTAGCCTGCTCAGCGACCCAGATGTCAGCTCTTTTTTCAGATTGTCCCAGATGAAAAAAATGTAAAATAAAGTCCGAGACAGTGGGGGAAAAACCCCTTTCCCTCAGTTTGATCCCCCTGCTCTCCACGCCCATGTATTGGATCACAGACAATTCAACACAAGGGGTCCCCAAAAAAGCCTCCCCATACAATCAGACAATGGGCCGGATCCCCTCCCCCACCACCCCCTTACTCCCCCAGGCAGGGGAAGCACAAACAGAACCACCCATGTGTGCAGGTTGGTCCCCAAGGGGCCCCCAAAGCTGCCTGTGCCTAAAGCTAAAGGAAGCCGTTAGTGGTTCAAATGTGTCCAACATCCAACAGCAAGTTCCCCTGTCCTCTGGCAGCATCATGGGGCAGCCGATCTGGGGATGTACCTTATGCAGCCTGTGCTGAGGAACTGTCCTTTCTGGTCCCTGGTGGGTGGGTTCGGGGAACCAATCTTTGCTGCTGGAACAAAAACATCTGTTGGGGGAAAACTCTTCTAGACTTTGCTTCAGGGGCTGAAACCAAGAGAAGGGGAAGATTTTTCTCTACTGATTACAGAGTTTCCTGTTTTAATGAGGTGTGGGTCAGGGCTGAGCAGGGAGAGGTTTCATGTAGCCTGGGCTGGAACAGGATTCATCCCTCCCATTCTGGGAACAGATCCTAGATTAACCCTGTTCAGTTTCTGTTATTTTCCCCATGTGTGACTGGCTGGTGAATGTAACGACCGTGTGAACCTCCAGCTGTGGGAGAATCTGCTCTCCTTTTCTGCAGCCCGCCCTGCCCTGGGCATTTTCCGTGTGCGCTGCCCCAGGAACCCCATGTCACACCCCAAAATACAGATTTTTCTAAAGAATTAAAACTTTTTCACCTTTTCCAGTTGAAAAGTTGGGGTTTTTTTATGTTTGGAAAAGTCTTCCCTTCCCCCACCCACCCACATGTTTGGAGACTTTGTAAACTCTCCCCCCCCCCCACACACACACACAACTTTTTCACTGTCCTCCTGGCCCAGCCCCTGGAACAACCAATTGCTCCCACCCTTGTGATCCCCCTTTGCTTTGAGCCATCCCAGCTCCCCCTATGCTCCTGCGTTAAAACTTCCTGCCCCCAGGCAACCCCCACCCCCTGCACTCCTGTGATGAATTTGGGGGTCTCATTATTTTGTTTGTTATACCTTGGCAAGGTTGGGGGGGCCGGCTCCGTACCCCCAGAAGGGGCAGGGCCTCGGGAAGAAGGGGCAGGGCGGGGGGCTAGCCTCCCTCACCCAGCCCTTCAGCACCGCTGGGCATGCGCCGCCCAGGGCTCCGGTGGTAATTTAAAGGGCCCGGGGCTCTGCCTGCTACCATGGTAGCAGTGGCAGCGGCTGGGAGCGGGGCCCTTTTAAAGCCCTGGGGCCCCAGGCACCTGCCCCTTCGTCCCCCCATCGCTGTGCCTGTGCACAATAAAAGATTCTCCATTGCCTGCACATTGCAAACTGTTTCACACCAGTGCAAAGCAGGTGTACAACTCTAGTGATCCAGAAGAGCAGCATTCTGGACCCATTTTGCACTGGTGGAAATGACGACACAACATCATGGAGAATCAGCCCAGTGCCTGATCTCAGCTCATCTCCAAAAGGGGGAGACAGCTTGGAAGGGGAACAATTTCACGTTTCTCTTTGTGCACCAGGCAGGGGTTGGGGGCAGGGAGTTCAGGGTTTCAGGTATATGCTTCATTTGGCAGAGGGCTGAGGAAGGGGTTCCCAGGCTGCCTGGGGGAGAAGAGAAGAGGACCTGCAATGCCTGAGGACTGAATGATTCGCTCTGCAGCTGTGGATAGAGAAAGGGGAAAATAGCAGAAAAACGGAACAGGGTTAATCTAACATCTGTTCCCAGAATGGGAGGGACGAATCCTGTTCTACCCCAGGATACAGGAAACCTCTCCCTGCTCAGCCCTGACCCGCGCTTCCTCACTAAAGCTGAAAACTCTGTAATCATTAGAGAAAAGTCCGTCCCTTCTCCTTGTTTCAGACCCTGAAGCAAAGTCCAGAAGAAGCAGCAAAGATTGGTTCCCCCGACCCACCAGGGGCTCCAGGTCCAGGAAGGACGGTGCAACGGCACAGGCTGCGTAAGGTACGTCCCCAGATTGGCCGCACCACGATGCTGCCAGAGGACAGGGGAGATTGCCGTTGGGTGCTGGACGCGCTTCAACCACGAACGGTTCCATTTAGGTTTAGGCACAGGTAGCTTATGGGGGTCCTGCATTCCCTTGGGGACCAGCCACCCCCACACATGGGGGCTTCTGTTTGTGCTTCCCCTGCCTGGGGAGCAAGGGGCGGTGGGAGAGGGGTTGTGGCCCATTGTCTGATTTTATGGGGAGGCTTTTCTGGAGAGCCCTTGTGTTGAATTGTCTGTGCGATCTAACAACATGGGCGTGGAGAGCAGAGGGATAAAATTGAGGGAAAGTGGGTTTTTCCCACTGTCTCTGCCCTTTTTTTTTTTTTTTTTTACATTTTTTCACATGAGACAAGGACAAGACTGACAGACCCTGGGGCCAATGAGGAGAGGGCAACGCTCCAGGTCAGTGTGCTAGATAGGACTGCAGGCCAATGAGGGAGTCAGGAGCCCACGGTCCAATGCTACGTGTGAGCTGGGGCTACCTGAGCCAGGGCAGAGCTAAGGGGTGAGCCGCAGCACAGAGCCAGAAGAGCTGGAGTTGGAGAGCTGGGGCAGCGCAGACCGGCCGTGTGGATGGGTCCAAACTGCAGCTGAGAGCTGCGGGGCCAGAGCCGGGAGAGCAGAAGCCAGGAAAGTTCCCCACAATAGCAGGACCATTCTCCGCTTACATAACGTTTCTGAGAGAGATGAGGTGACTGAGCGAATATATTTATTGGCGACCAACTTCTGTTGGGGAGAGAGACAAGCCTTCAAGCTGCTGTCGGGTGGCTGCCAGCTAATCAGCTCCACATGCCAGGCCCTCGCCTGTGTGTCCTTGCAAGAGATAAGGGCTGTAGGAATTTGGGTTGCAGTTTGGTGGCTCAGAGCCAGCCCCACTTCCCGGCTTCCTCCCATTTCTGGGAAAGGGGCAGCTCAGCCTGTTGCTTTCGGTTTCCAGGAGCACAGGATCCAAACCGGCTCCTGAGCCTGTCACGAAGCTCCCTGTGAATCAGACGGGGCTGTTTGAGTGATGAAAGATTCTCCATTGCCTGCACCTCGCACACTCATTCACACCTGTGAAAAGCGGGTGTGCAGCTCTAGTGATCCAGAAGAGCAGCATTCTGGACTCGTTTTGCACTGGTGTAAATGACGACACAACATGGTGGAGAATCCGCCCAGTGCCTGATCTCAGTATATCTCCCAAGTGGGGAGACAGATGGGAGGGGAACAATTTCCCATGTGTCTCTTTGTGCACCAGGCGGGGGTTGGGGGCAGAGAGTTCAGGGTTTCAGGTATAGGCTCTACTTGGCAAAGGGCCGGAGAAGGGGTTACTGGGCTGCGCTGGGGAGAAGAGAAGAGGGCCTGCAATGGCTGAGGAAGGAATGATTCACACTGCAGCTGTGGGGAGAGAACGGGGAAAATATCAGAAAAACAGAACAGGGTTAATTTAGGATCTTTTCGCAATAGGGGAGGGACCGAATCCTGTTCCACCCCAGGCTACAAGAAACCTCTCCCTGCTCAGCCCTGACCCGTGCTCACTAAAACTGAAAACTCTTTAATCCTTAGAGAAAATCCGTCCCTTCTCTTCGTTTCAGCCCCTGAAGCAAAGTCCTGGGGAGTTTCCCCCCGCAGTTGATTTTGCTCCAGCAGCAAAGATTGCCCCCCCCCCCCCCCCCGGCGCACCAGGCCCGCCAGGACCAGGAAGGACGGTGCATCAGCACAGGCTGTGTAAGGTACGTCCCCAGATCGGCTGCACCACGATGCTGCCACAGGACAGGGGAGCTTGCTGTTGGGTGCTGGACACGCTTCAACCACTAACGGCTTCCTTTAGCTTTAGGCACAGGCAGCTTTGGGGGCCCCCCCCCTGCATTCCCTTGGGGACCAGCCACCCCCACACACGGGTGGTTTTGTTTGTGCTTCCCCTGCCTGGGGAGCAAGGGATGATGGGGGAGGCGTTGTGGCCCATTGTCTGATGTTATGGTGTGACGGAATAGGGAGTATTAACCTGGTAATGTTGCACGGGAGTTTTACTGGTACTGTCTGCATTGGTGCTGGATGGTGGTGGGATATCAGAGTGTGACTTCATTTGAGTGATGATACATGGGTGTGGGGTTGGGACCAGGTGACACCTTCTGCCCAGGAAACTGGACAAAGGCTGGAGGAGGAGCCAGGGGGTGTGGCTGGGTTAGATGGCTGGAGGGGGTTTCAATTTGGAGCTGGCTGGGGAAACGAAGGGAGGGTCTGGGCTCCCTGCCTCCCAAGATGGACCGGACTGAGGGGCCCTGGTTTCTGTATCTACAAGCTCTGTTTTGGGGCTGTGTTCCTGTCATCTAATAAACCTTCTGTTTTACTGGCTGGCTGAGAGTTTTGGTGAATCGTGGGGAGTGCAGGGCCCTGACTCCCCCACACTCCATGACATATGGATAGGCTTTTTGGGGGCACCATTTTGTTGAATTGTCTGAGTGATCCAACACGTGAGTATGGCAGGCAGAGGGATAAAATTGATGGAAAGTGGGGATTTCCCTACTCTCTCTGACTTTTTTTTTTTTTTACATTTTGTCACCTGGGAAAATGTGACAAAAATAAGAAAATGATGCTTAAATTTATGATAGAGACAAGGTGGGTGAGGAAACATCTTTCATTGGACCAACTTCTGCTGGTAAAAGAAACAAACTTTTAAGCTCCTCCGAGCTCTTTCTTCAAGTCTGGGAAAGGGGCTCCGTGCCACAGCTAAATGCAAGGTGGAACACATGTTGGTTGTAAGAGACCATTCAAGGTGAAGTGGCCATTTAACACATCTTTAGGCATAGGACAAAAAAGGAGGGTTAATGGGTTGCGGATTAGAACATAAGACCGTCCAGGCTGGCCTACACCAATGGCTCATCTACCCCAGTATCCTGTTTTCTGAGCGTGTTTGGTGCCAGATGTTTCAGGAGGAATGAATAAAACCGGGCAATTATCAAGTGACCCTCCACTGTCGTCCAGTCCCAGCTTCTGGCAGTCAGAGCTCCTACCCTCATGATTCACTATTACTCAAGCCATCCCTTGTCTCCCATTCTTCTGCCCCCAACCTCCCAAGCCCACACAAGGGATCCCCACCCCCATCCTCTGCTTGCATCTGTGTGGTAAATGAATATTACACTTGTTGTGAAAAGAGGAAAAGACAGGACCAAGTATGCAACCCTTCCCCCACTTGACTCCTGAATGTCACCCATTGAGCACCACAGTACTTGGCATGTGTGTTGGTCCCATCTTGGCTGGAAATGGGGATTGAATTGCCCAGTGGGTTACACATACAGTTAGCAAATATTTTAAAGGCACTTGATTGTCTGATTGCCTTTGATTATTGATAGTAATTGAAATCTTGATGTGCCAGATATAAAAATCAAAGGACAGATCATATTTCTGTTCACTGTTATTTTATTAAAGGATTTGGTGACTTTTTCTAAAATGTCCAATGGAGAATTGAGGGACTCACAAGTTTCATGGCTGGCGTGGAAGAGAATGAGGGCTCCAGTAGGGTGCTCTGCTGCCCAAAGAAGTCTTCTCATTGGCTCAGAAAAGGGGTGGAGCTAAAGCAGGACTTCCTGTTTTGTCAAATAGACCTGAAATTGGCCAGCAAAGCTCCACAAGAGGGCAGTACCGATGAGGGTCAAGGGTGTTGCAATGCTCCAGGTGTAACTTGTACCAAGTTCTATCCATAAATACACCTCAGTTCTCCCTGTCAGAAATGTACATCTGTCCTTCCCTGGTGCACACATCACACTCCTGAACGTAGCACATGCTAGAGGTGAAGAGATCAGAGATGCACTTTGCAAACTCTGTGTCAGTGGAGGAGAATCTAGTCCTGGTTCTGTAGGTTACAAAAATGAGCTGATGATTTTATGTTCCCTGTAAAAAACAAAACAAACCACTAGAGCTGGTGGAAAATTTCCCAACAGAACAGTTTTCCATTGGATAATGCTGATTGGACAAAATCAAAACTTTGTGGAGCTATATCTGACCAAAATATCTGACCAAAAAAGGATCAAAACATTTTGTTTTGATAAGTTCAAAGCACTTCATTTCAATGTTATTTAAATTTGTATACATTATATTAAGTATTTTAAAGTTATGAGTTTAACCACCGCCCTTCAAAGGTAACTGTAAGAGATAATTAAACACATGTTGCCTCCCACAACAAAGGGCTGAGTTAGCTCAGGAATTTATGAACTGGGTGGAGGGACTTGGCTCAGTATTGTTTTGGCTAAGGGCTGATCTACACTACAGTTAGGTCGACCTAGCTGTGATGCTCAAGGGTGTGAAAAATTCACTGCCCTGAGAGACATAGTTAAACAAACCTATGCCCTGGTGTAGACTCTGCTAGGTCAATAGACGAATTCTTCCATCAACCGAGCTCCCCCCTTTCGGAAAGGTGGATTTACTACAGTGATGGAAGGACCCCTTCTGTAGCTGAAGCTGTGCCACTGTAGCATTTCTATTGTAGGCATACTCTAAGAGCATGCACACATGTGAGAGAGAGAAGCACAAGACACAGAGAGACAGCCAGAGCCTGGAAGTGTCATGGGGTCCTGGGAAAAGCCTAGAGAAAGTTTTTTGAATCAAGAGTGCTGGATGAAAAGAATTTGGACTTATGAGCAAGGATGCTATCAATTTCTCCTCCTAATGGCCCTAAACTTTAACTAGATAGGTCAAAAGGGGTATCTAAAAAAATTAATTAATAATTATATAGTCTATTATATTTATATTACAATTAATAGTTGAAATGAAGCACTTTATTAAAATAAGGTCATTTCAATAAAGCCCTGTGGATATTTTCACAACTAATTGTTTTGGAATTTTTGTTACATGGGAAATTTCAAAATTTGAACTTTTTGTTCTGATTTGGGACAAATAGAAATTTTGAAATGTCGGAATTTCCTGCGAAATGGAAATTCTGAGTTTTGACCAACTCTAGCGAACGCTGAATGAAATTTCCCTTTTTCCTCTTCCTTCTCTGGGCCAGATGACATCTTTCAAATCTCTCATGGAGTCCATGGAGTCTCTCTCTGCACTCATGAAGGATGTGGATATAGAGTTAGACCCAAAGGCATCGTTCAATGCAGCTATACAAGTATATGAGAAATTCATGCATCTCTTCAAAGATGGAAGCCCTGAGGTAGCTGCTTTGAAAGCTCAGGAGGCGCTGGAGTCATTTGAAAATACGATGCTCAACATTGCTGTTACAGGAGAGACGGGTGCAGGGAAATCATCCTTCATCAATGCCATCCGGGGACTGGAGACTGAGGACAAAAGGGCTGCCCCAACTGGTGTGACAGAAATGACAACAGAGCCAACTGCTTATCCGCATCCTACCTACCCTAACGTGACACTGTGGGATTTGCCAGGGATTGGGGCAGTGGGTTTTCGGCCAGAAAGGTACCTCCAGCAGGTGAAATTCAGTCGCTATGACTTCTTTATCATCATCGCCTCAGGGCGGTTCCGTTCCAGCCATGCCGACCTGGCCTGGAAGATCCAAAAAATGGAGAAGAAGTTCTATTTTGTGCGCTGCAAAGTGGATGAAGATTTGGCCAATGAAAGAAGGGCTCATCCCCAAATTTACAGTCAGGACAGTGTCTTGCAGAGGATCAGGGAGAACTCCGAGAAACATCTGAGACACCAAGGGGTGTCCAACCCACAGGTCTTTCTTCTCTCCAACTGGGAGTTCGACCAGTATGATTTTCGCCTACTGGAGGATACGCTGGAGAAGGACCTCCCCAGTCTACAGAGACTTGTGTTTCTGCTCAGCTTGCCCAACCTCTCCCCTGAAATCATAGAGAAGAAGAAAGCTGCCCTGAAGAAGCATTTATGGAAAATATCCCTGGTGTCTGCTTGTATCAATGCTGTTCCCCTTGAGAGAGTCTCTCTCGCGTGTGACATTGGAATCCTGCTGGTCTCCATGATCGCCTTCTACAAGCGATTTGGCCTTGATGATGACTCCCTGGCTAAGCTTGCCAGGCAGGCTGCAAAGCCCGTCACAGAGCTCAAAGCTGTTATCCTATCGCCGCAGGTGGAAGAACTCACCAGGGACTTCTTACTGAAGAAATGTGTCAGGGTTGGGTGCGGCATCACCAGGTCATTTGAACGTCGCTTTAAGCTGGTATCCGTGATTAGCACCGTAGCTGCAGCAGCGTTGTCTTTCATTACCACATATTCCATACTGTCAAGCTTCCTGGATAAAGTTGCCGAAGATGCAAAGAGAATTCGCAAGAAAGCCCTGGAATAAGAAGGGACAACTTCAAGATAACCACAACGTAATCCACAGACCTGTCACTGTAGGGAAGGCAGATAACCTGAGGGTGTCTATTGTATAGATAAAGAGACAGAAGGCAGGATTTTCCTTTTTTGTGTGTTTTATATGGCAAACAAAGAGGAAAATCCTGACTCCGCTTTCTGGAGGGCTCTGTTGGGCTTTATATTTGATCCAAAATTATTGTCGTATACTGGAAAATCAACAAAATTGAAGTGAAACTGCTAGCTCTGACAACATGTGAGACTTAATGGAAAGAGAGCCTGAACAAAGCGGACCATGGACGAAATCTGTGGAATGGTTTGGCCTCTTATGGTATTGTTTGGCCTGTTCTCCTCATTCTCCCAACTGGGAGCTCAGTTAAGGCTACATGTGAGTTGCTGAATTGCTTGAGCAAGAGGACATGACTATCTCTTCAGTCACTCTTATTGAGACGTGACGCAAGAAGAGTTAGAAATATCTTGCTACCAGATATCTATCACTGATTCCATGGGAGACGGATGGGCTTATTGTTAAGGTGCTGGACTGGCAATCAGGAGATTTGAGTGCTAATTGCTTCTGTGCTACAGAGTCTCAGGCCAGGTCTACATTAAATGTTAGGTTGACCCAGCTACATCGCTCGGCGGTGTGAAAAAGCCAGACCCCGGAGTAATGTAGTTAATCTGACATAAGCCCTGGTATAGAGAGCATTAGGTTGATGGAAGGATTCTTGTCTCTACAGCTGTGCTACGGTAGCAGTGTAAGTGGAGACATAGCCTAAATGTGACCTTGGGCAGGTCACTTAATTTTTCTGTGCCTCGGTTTACCCATTGCAAAATGTGGAGAAGAATCCTTCCTTTGTGTTGTCTATTTAGCCTGTAAACTGTTAGAGACAGAGACTGTCTCTTGCTAATTTTGTCCAGTACCCTGCACACTGGGGCCCATGATCTTGGTTGGGGCCTCTATGAGCTTCTGTAATAAAGATGATGATAATTACATTAAAAAAACCTTCATTAAATCTTCCTTGCCTCACAGGGCTGAGGATCAATCCATGAAAGACCCACAATAAAGGAAACAAAATTCGTGCAGGAAATTTAAAATTTGGTGAGATTCTTTTTGTCAATGCAAACAGATCTTTCTAGACACTTTATTTATGATGTTAATAATTTTCAACAATGCAATTGTGAGGCCACCAAATTTGTGTGGCACATCGGAGCTTCTGGACTAGAATGAGTGTCCTCCCTCCTCAGAGATGTCAGTGTGAATTTGGAGTCACTGGGTGTGGTAGTTCCTGGTTTTCACTCGAGTAACTGAGTTCAAAATATGGCATTTAGGCCTTCATTTTAAGACATGGACACTGCCTGACCTTGAATGCCTTCATTTTTGGGTACCTAGCTTGAGAGTTCTTCAAGGAACTTGATTTTCAGAGGCTATGAGCCACTCCACACTTCTGAAAAACAGGCACTAAAAACAAGGCAGTGAAGATCAGAGGCCCACTGGAATATTTATGCCTTAAGAGCCAGTTTTTAAAAAGATTCAGATCCCACTGAGAACAGTGGAGAGGCCCTGCCTTTGCCCTATTGAGAGTGGAACTGGTCAAAAAGGTAAATTGTCTCACAGGTCATTCCAATATTTCAGCATTTGCTGTCATGCTGAATCAGGATGAAAAGTTGAAATACTGGAAAGCTTTGCAGAATGAAAAAATGTGTCTAGGAAATGTCAAAACATTTTGGAGAAATTCAACAGTAATCTGCATCCTCCTGAGCTGCACAGTGCATCATGGGAGTCCCATGACTGTGGTGCATCATGGGAAAGGTAGTCTGGCTGGGGAGTTTAGCCAATAAGGGGAAATGGGGGGAATGAAGAAACTGAACTACAGCTCTCAGTCATGACTGCTCAGGCAGAAATGCAAAATTTAATAGTGAAACATTTCATTTAGATTTTTCCCCAACACATTTTTTTTTAAAATTAACATTTTTCCATGAAAAAGAAATGCTTTGATGGAAAATTTCTGACCATCTCCAACTGCAAGCTGGTCCATAGTGATGCTTTTTGAAAATCTAGCCTCTAATATGGAAGGGAAAAAATTATTATTAAAACTGGGATAACTCAAACCAGCCTGTGAAAAACATGCGCAGAAAAATCTCTTCCAAGCTCTTAGAGATTTATTCATTTTCTTGCTTCAGAAATGATGCATAATATCAAAATAATAAAAAAAACCCTTTATTTCTTCACAAGCTACTTTCTTCACCACAGAGTTCTGAGGCATGACTTGTTCTCACTTCTCTTTCCCCCCCCCGTCTTGAGTGCTGATTGTAACACTGACAGACCAGCTTAGGTCAGAACAATAGACCAATTGAGTTGTGTGTGAATATCAACAAAGTGTGAAATGTTTAAGTATGTGTGCACAACAATTCACTTGTGTTAGTTTAGTTCAAAGGGAATGTTAATGGCATTGTCTTCAAACTTATCTAGAAACCTATTGATTGCTATCACATTACATTATGTATGACCCTGTAATTAAATAACCCCAGATCAAAGTGTGTGTATATTCAGGTGTTAGAACTTCATGAATACTAATGAATGATACTTGCATTGTTTTCACTTATCTATCCCTATTATAATGTAATGGCAGGCAATTGTATACAAATGTTTAAACCTGTAAAAAAATTTAAACCCATATATCACTGTAACTGAATTACCTGTGTATGCAAAGGAAGTAGAATGTTAACTTCAAAGCCACAGTCATTGAGTTCAACAATGGAAGTTCACAACTCATTCTGCAGCTGCTACTCATCAAAACTCATGTGGGTGAAGACATTGTTCAGATTTTCTTCTGTGAGCAGGATCTATAAATATTGGTTTGAGGGAATGATCCTGCATCTCTGGACTGTTCGAACACTCACAAGGAAGCACTCCAGATGCAGGACAGAGATCCCCAAAATCATTTTGGGTACCCTGAGAGACTTATGCAAAACTAGCAGATTACTACATCTCTGCTGTCATTTTGGATTTACAATCTTAGGCTCACCTGTTAATGTAATTTACCTGCTTTAACCTCTCAATAATGTTCATTTCTTTTCTTAGCTAATAAACTTTTAGTTTACTAGAGAAATTGGCTGCCAATGTTGTGTTTGGTGTGAGATCGAGAGTATCCTTTGGGGTTGGGAGTAACCTAATGTGATGTGATATTTGGGATAAAGGACCATTATCACAAAGTCCAGTTTGACTGGTAAGATTGGCTGGAGAGTCTCAGGGGACTGTCTGTGGCTCCATGGTACAACTGCTATAGTGATCCAGGAGTTCACATTTATTACGGGCTTGATGAAATCTAATGATAGAATATAGGACCAGTTTGGGGTGTCTGCCCTGTTTTCTGACAGTCTGACCTGAGATTGGCACTCTCAGTGGTGAGTCACTTCAGACAGTGTGACACTGATAATCAACCATTACTCTTGATACATTTTCTCTCTATTGACATTATAATAGCCTTATGAAGAGACAGGAACAATTCTGGACTCATGAAGTTCTTGGTAATGGCAATTTCTGTTTCCCATTGCCTTCCCCTTTCTTTCTACACTGACTGACATCCTTCTTTTTTTCCCCCCAGAAAGATGGCGTTACCAAGAGGTGCTTTGGATGATAGATTTCAGGATACGGATTTTAGTCTCTCCACTATTCCCAAAGAGGATCTCGAAGAGCTAACGGCCGCTGTTGAAAGAGGGAATCTTTCAGAAATGGTTTCTAAAGCGCAGGAATACCTAGAGCAGTTGGAAAACATGAAACTCAACATCGCCATCACGGGGGAGTCGGGATGTGGGAAATCGTCCTTCATCAATGCCATGCTGGGTCTGGATGATGATGACGAATACGCAGCCAAGGTTGATGTGACAGAAACAACAATGGAACCAACTCCTTATCCTCATCCCAAACACCAAAATGTTACCATGTGGGACCTTCCGGGAATTGGGACGCCGAGTTTCCGGCCTGACAGCTACCTCCAGCAGGTCAATTTTGCCTACTACGATTTCTTCATTATCATTGCTTCCGAGCGGTTCAAATCCACACACGCTGACCTGGCCCAGAAGATCCAAAGGATGGGAAAGAAATTTTACTTTGTGCGCTCCAAGGTGGATGTAGACTTGTATAATGAAAAAAGAAGGAAAAACTTCAGTGAGGAGACCACCCTGAAGAAAATCAGAGACGATTGCATGACGAAGTTGCAGGGAGTAGGGGTGACCTCACCGCAGGTTTTCCTTGTCTCCAGATGCGAATTTGGCAAGTACGATTCTCCTCGACTGCAGGAAACTCTGGCAGATGAGCTTGACTCTCACAAGAGGCATGTTTTCCTTCTTTCCCTGCCCAATATTTCCAGACCCATCCTGGAAAGGAAGAAGGAAGCCCTGCTGAGTCAGATCTGGAAACAATGGCTGGTGTCCTGCATCCTTTCTCTACTTCTTATTCCAGGTCTTTCTTTTGCTTATGATGTTTGTCTATTGAGGCGCTGCATGGCAAGTTACCGCAAGAACTTTGGCTTGGATGATGACTCCCTGGTTAACCTTTCCAAGATGGTTGGGAAGCCCATTGCAGACTTGAAGGCAGTGATAAAGTCTCCGCTAGAAGAAGAAATGTCATTCCATTTTATTGTACGTCTTCTGGGCAAGGCTGAAAATCATTACCTGACGTTCAATGAGCACGTCTTCTGTGAGAAATTTCAATTCAGTATCCCTGTAATATTAAGGTCTTTTCCAGTCACATACGCCACACTGAAGCGCATTCTAAATGATGTTGCAGAAGATGCCGAAAGGGTCCTGACCAAAGCTTTGGAGGCAGAAGAGAAAAATTAAATGTAACAGCATCAAAAGTTCAATACTGCCCAAGCAAAGAGATCAGATGACAAAGGCCCCAATCCACTGGAGAGAAGGCAGCATCTCAAACCTGATACCACTATGGAAAAAGTATTGGATACGAGGCACATGCAATGTGTGTGAATTCTT